TTCAGGGAGTTCAGACAGTTGAGATACACATTTAATTTTCTAATAAAGAACCATTTAATGTCTAATCATAAAAATGTCAGCTTAACCCAGGCACACACACACACACAACATGCAAGAAACTACATATGGAAGTCATACCCAACCATCCATACAAGCTACATGTAATAACCATCACCAAGCCTGACTCAGAATAGATGCCTGCTGAAAAATTCAGCTTAGACCAATATGAATTTCCATGCTGGATTATGCTGGTAAAGCTGGTTATGCCATATACTTTTATGGTAAACAACCCCCTAAGAGTTTCCGATGTTTGAATCATTTCTGTCTTTTTTTGCACATTCCAGATAGACTGTCAGTCAGTGCTTTCCCAGCTAACAGGAAACATTCTCAGAACTTTGGTTAAGATTCTGGTAAGATCCTATCAAAGTTATGAATGTTCTTCGAGTATCTTTAATAGAATGTTTGTTCAAAGTTATCTTGCCTTCAATAGTTCTCAAAATATTAGCTCAAAAAACAATTTATACATCGTCAATATAATGTTTTTTCTAAATCTTTCTAAATTTCGACATTTCTTATACTCTTTTTCGTGCTACTACTTGTATTCAAAAGTAATGCTCCCATAATGTTTGCCAAATTATAAAATGAAATGTAGAAAGAATTTACATAACCAGTTTTTTTTTTTTTTACAGATGTTTTGAATGTTTGCAGAACAGTCAGAAATAGCGTTTTCATAACTTAATGGTAATGTCATCAAGACGTTCTTAAGAGTATATTTTTAGCTGGACCACTTGTGGGAATTTTTCAGTGACTCTTTCTACAAATCTGTACGTCACAGAAACTCAGATTTGTTAAAAACTCTTATCCGTACAGGAACGAGCTGTCTTTAATTATGAGTTATTGGCCCTATCCCAAATAGTATACTTTATGAGCACTTGTGGCCTTGCAGACTTACAGCCATGTACAAGACCATAAGCATAATGCATCCCATTTGTCTTTTTACATTTCAGAAGTGTGTTCACAAGTGCCCCCTTTGTGGCCCTTGTTACGTATTTCTACTGAAGTGAGCTTCGCAGCACACTTTTACCTGACATAATGATGGAATCTGAAAGATTAAGCAATATGATGTTAGCGAACATGATGACACCCCCCACTCTGTAAAACTTACTTCAAGTAATTTTCATTTTGACCTGATTTTGTTGGAACTGACGTCACATCAGTTCTACTTAAAGGGGGGAGGGGGGGGGGGTACAATGCTGTTTCATCCATTCAGAGTTGTTTACACTGTTAAAGAGTTGGATTCTCATGCTAAACATGGACAAAGTTTCAAAAAACAATTTGGACGTATAACAGAGTATTTCTGTGCCAAAAATCTTACTTCCGGGTTCGTACAAGTTTCGATAGTTTTTTTCGATGGTGGCTCTTAATGACATAAATGAGGGTGGAACTCCTTATATGGGCATTTCTCCCGGAAGAACTCACCCGTGCACGCATCAACCAGAGTAAGAGCAAGATCACGCCCATCAACGCGCTTCATCCGGTGGCAGCGCTGCACGGGACTCGCTCGGGAAGAATGTCTCCAATCCAAAGAAGTGTGTTTTCGGTTGTAAGGGAAAGATAACTTTGTTCATCTTCCTAAAGAACTCAACGTTATGTAGACAGTGGATACAGTTTGTTTTTCCGGAGCAGCAACAGAGTTTCACAAGTGTGTTCGTTTTATAAACAAAGCCCAGTTCGACGCTGGATTTGCACATTGTTTGATACTGAAAGATGGAGCGGTCCAGCTATAAAAGATCCCAGTCATGATTCAGAACTGCTGAGGTAAGTGAAACGGCATCAAATGTCTGTTTTGTTAGCATTCGGCGTCCAAGTGCTTGTCACTCTTTAGCTCCTCCCACGGCACACCTCCAGGAGCTCTGCTTTTTCCGGAGAGAATTGTAAAGCTGTATCTTTCTTTTATAAATATGATAAAACTAAAGACTTTTTGGAGATATGAAGGATGCAGTACTACTCTATAGGTACTCAAGATTAACATGAGATTGGGTGAAACTGTGTGTTTTATGCCCCCTTTAAACTGGCTGCACACTAGATTATTTTAAAATCTTAACCGATTTTAAAACCATGGGAGCACAGACATGAAGACAGTTTCAACCGATAATAATTCTCTGAACGTGCACACTAGACGATTCGACCAGACTGCGAGACCAAACACACTTGTCGATTGTAGGGACGATTTCACAGTGACATGAGATCTCAAGGAGATTCGCAAGATCAAACGTGACTAGAGAAGAAAAACAAATGGAGAACATTCAACGTTGTCAGCTGGCTCTCTCGGCGTGCATTCTGTTTCACAGTGAAAAAACAAATTATAAAAAAAGAATATGGGTGATGTTCTTTCTCAGTGCTCTGCTTTCGTGGCATTTTTGTCGCTGCCAGGTTTCAGCTATAGAAGCATGCGACATCCAGTAAGTGACTTGCTCGCTCTCATTGGCTATCGCGGTTATCATGTCAGAGGCAGTCAGATCCAGAGTCGTAAATATCAAACATGTATCAAACAAGAGTCACAATGACACCACACAATAGAGGATTTTATGGACAAAAAAAACGCTCGCGACAAGCCGCGAATCGGGAGCCTTAAAATCCTCTACTGTGTGGCCAGCCTTAATTAAGTCCATTGAGTCCACCTCATTGACTCTAGAATTATTACTTTAAACAATGAGGTTGATACTGATGTGCCTCATTATAAAACAATGTGACAAAACGTCTCGGGTTACTTATGTAACCATGGTTCCCTGAGTAGGGAACGAGACACTGCGTCCTCTAGGGGTCGCTATGGGCTCCAGGGAGTTTACACAGATAAGATTTTAAACATTAAAAAATAATCATAAAAATTTAATTTTCTTATAAAGAACCATTTAAAATGTAGCTACAAAAATTTCAGCTTAAACCAGGCACACACAAAATCAGTTTCAAACCAAACAACTTTCTGTTTTTTAGAACGGTGAATTCACTTGACCTTTCACTTTTCATGAAAGTAAATTAAATCTGTGTGCGGAACTTTGTCGCCAAAACTCCAGATCGCAGCGATTCCTATTGAAGTGACTGAAATTCAACCTTAACATTTCTGAGAGCAACAGTAAATGTGACTACACCTTTAGAGTGACATTTGTGACAGAGTTGCCATTGAATTGTTCACTCAACCGATTTATTTAAAAACACTAATCCATACTCTTTTCTGGATGAGTCTTTTAATCAATCACTCAAATGATTTATTGAAAACAGATTCATTAAAGAATGAAACAGCAACTCTGTTGTTCAAAGACGAGCTATGATTAATTCTGCTGTGGCTTTGTTTGAACCTTTTTTAGCTGGCGGAACAAACACAGACAAAGTAACTGGCTATATATGTAACTTTTGTTTAAAAGCAATATCTCACTCACAATCGTACTACAAGCACGTGGTCTGAATATCAGGGCAATAACAGACCTCCTGCTCATGTGATATTGCTAAAACTTAAGCTGGTGATAGTCCATTGTATTGTGTGACATCTGCAGTATATGGTAGTGAATGTATATCATATAATCTCACTGAGGAGCTGCACAAATGAATATCGTAAGTCTCCTGTCTTTTTGTTTTGAAGTTATCCTAAGGGGTAATGGCAATAGGGCACATCAGTATTCCATATAACAAACAGGCACACCCACACACACACACACTTCCGTTGTGACATGAGGGCCAGATGTGGAGTTGAATTCTAATGAAAGTGACTACAGAGCTACAAGGGTAGAGTTGCCTGCATGCATATGTGTATGTTTGAGTAACCACACACTTGTCCCTTGAGCTTAGGGCTTTATGAATGCTTTGTTTGCGCACACACACACTGAACCACAACAGAAATAGAAGCAGAACACAATGTAGCTGCATCAACAGAATGTCTCATTACTCTCAATCTGGATGGGGTTTTTTTGTTCCAAAGTAGTTTGTACATTTGCATCGAAATGAAAAATAAACACAATTATATATGTATACTGTATGTTGTTGCTGTCAAGGACTGGAAAAGTTCCTAGTCTTGATTGCTTTGTATGAAATTGTGTTTTAGTTGTAAAATGAATACTGGTGGCGTTTATTTGTATAGATTTTGTTTATTTTACATATATACGATTGAATATTGCTTTGTGTCGCAGTTTTATCATATTCACTCTGGTAGCATGTACGTATGTATATTTATAGAGATTTTATTTGTGCATTTTAAATATACATGATTTGAGTGAATATTGCTTAGGTGGCGTGATAAATTTAGATAAACAGTTCGCTCCCATTTCATTATATTCAGCCTTGTAATTACAAAACACACAACCAGCTTGGTAAAGGGAAACAAGGTTTAACAGCTTTATTCATATAAAATATGTACATTCATATTCATTATCTATGGGAATTTACAAATATATTTATACAAAATCTCCTTGCAAGGGTTTGTCAGTTTGTGAATGATGCTGAGGGAACAGGCGCACACACACACACACATATACATACACACACATTCATGCACTCGCACAGTTACAAATCCACATAACACATTTGAATTGCATACATACATAAATAAATAAAAAACATACAGTATATACAGGAATTACATGACTGCAAACAAATATCTCTACAGCATATTGAGCACACACCCCACAAAACCCTCATAAACTTGAATGACATTTTCTTTTTAAAGAGCTGCAATATTTTTTCATTGATTCCTCATTTGTTGCTATTGACACAAAGGGGATACAAACAGTAAATTTCCATGCTTAACGAACACATGCAAAACCACAAACAGTTGTATTGAGTCAGACAGGCTTATTTACAAGTCAAACCAAATTAGTCATCACATGCAATATTGGATTAAAGAGGCTCCATTTGCAGCGCTTAGGGTGTGGGTAACCAGTTTTTTAGGGAGGGTGCAAATCAAAGCATGTCTTTTAGGCAAATAACCACAAAGTTACAGTTTCAAATCCTTTTTTGTATTTGCACTTGTTTTGTTTTTATCCTATGGCTTTTGCTTTTGATGCCCTAGTCTTTGTAGTATACTCAATTCTAATTAGTTTGTGGAAGCTGATCCCCCACAGGAAATTGCTGGGGCTTTAAATATCGTAACGTCAATCAAAATGTGATCTTCAGATTACAGCAGGTCCCCATGTTGAGTTATGAGGCAGCTGACTGGCTCAGGCTGAAACGCGATTCGCAATTAACTGTTCTTTGGTTCGTCTGGTTCTCTGTGTTCCTGAGGAGTCACTTCTGGTCCAGGATGATTCATTGCAGTGTGGTCTTCAGTGCCGTTCTATCACCGACCTTAGATGGTGTTTCTTAATCCTGGGTTCTGCGAAGTTAAATATACACTAGAGTCAAGAGAGGAAAAGCAATTAATCTCAATTACAAGATTTATTGGTTGACCTGCACATCAAGAGCTGGGGCCACTTGCACATGACATTTGACCTCTCATACAACCCCTGACCTTTTCCTTCCGACGAACAAGAATGACTTTTCTCCTCTTCTCTCCCTTATTAAGATTTAAGTATTGGGCTGCAGTTCTTTGCACTGGAGAGGTCAGTGTGGTACAGAAACCACAAAAGATGTTCAATGGTAAATTGTGAAGTAAATAAGAGCAATGATGCCAAAATAGTATGTGCTGTGGAGGTACGCAAACGTCATCTTGTAAGTTTAAGTACTTACTGTAGTGCAGGACTGGCTTGCTGTGAGCTGGTGTCTGGAAGGTTCTGGAGGTTGCTGGGCCTTGTCCTCCTGCAGTGATCACCTGCACCTCAAGTCTGTAGAGAGATGCCAACTGAAGACCAGAAACTACCAAGATATTACGCTCCTGTTTGCGAAGAATGAGAAGATATTTTAGCATATTCAAATTTGAGTCTGAGAAAGAATTAAAATGCAAATACACTATTGTTCAAAATATTGTTTTGAGGTTGAAAGATTAAAGATTTTTTAAATGCCCACTTATGCTCACCAAAGCTGCATTTATTTGATCAAAAATACAGTAAAAACAGTAATATTGTGAAATAGCATTTCAATTCAAAATAACTCTTTTCCATTTGAATATATTTTACAATACGATCCATCACTCTAATATGCTGATTTGCTGCTCAAGAAACATTTATTATTTCTACCAATATTGAAAAATGTTGTGCTGCTTCATATTTGTATAGAAACTGATATTTTCAGGATTCTTTGATCAATAGGACATCCAAAAGGACTTACTGAATAAAATAATTAATATATTTAAAAACACCAAATTTTGAATAGTAGTCAACATTGTAGAAGAACTCCAGAATAAAAATAGCTACATTGCAGAAGAACTTTTGATATTAATACAATGAATACAATACATTTATGGCTTAGTTTCTGAAATAATGTATGGAAACCAGAATAGAACAGCACGAACTGAGTTTAGAATGGTATGAATTCAGCTCAGAACTGTATGAATTCTACAGTATGTTGGTTTGGTGGTCTTACTGCTGGACCAGCACACTAATGCCCAAAACGAAAATATATACCATGCTGGTGAACAGTATGCAAAACACAACATACTGTATGCTTGTGACCAGCAATCATTATTAATGTGACTTACTGGAGGCAGGATTTGAGACTGGGATATGAGGCTGTTGGGCAGATGATTTCTGCGGCTCTCTGTGATGACCTCTGCCCATGTGACCTGATATCCTGTGACCTGCTGTGGCTGCTGAGGCATGGCCACCACCCATGAGAACAGGCCTGTCACATTCCCCATGTAGACGGAGAATGCTGCTGTCAGGTTCTCTGCCTTGACCAGGACCTTTGGAGGAACCACTGCTGATTGAGAGAACATAAAGAATCATATAAGACACATAAAACCATATACCAGTAATAGATGTAGGGCTTAAATGCATTAAAAAAAGATAGTGATGCTATTTTTATCTGAATTTTAATTCTAAAATTATTGTAAGATTCCTGGGCACAGAGTCAAATATGTTACAATGTCACAACTGCCCTGATGTCAAAATGAAAATTGAATTGAATTGAATTAAACTGAACTGAATAGAATTGAGTTTAATTGAATCCAAATTAATCAAATTTTAGTTAATTTCTTGAGAAGAATTTCTTGAGAAGTTTGCCATAATCTATTTTAATAAGAAATTATTATTTCTAGGTTAGTTTTTTTTTTTTTTTTTTTACAAAAATGGCAACAAAACTTAAGTGATCCTCCCAACATGCAGAAACAATAATTAATGATTTAAAAAAATGAGTGTGTACACTCAAATATTCAAGGTATAAGGAAATGTGTGTGTGTGTGTGTGTGTGTGTGTGTGTGTGTGTGTGTGTGTGTGTGTGTGTGTGTGTGTGTGTGTGTGTGTTTTAAACAATGAATCCTACATGTTTACAAAGAGTACATTTGCAAGAAGATAGAAAAATATTTTACAAATTAGTTTGTCAATTTTTTTTGTTTCTTAACTATAGGCATTCTTACGTGTCATTGACCCACACATTTGATCCAACATACCTCATAAACAAAGCAGTTTTGCAAATTACGCTAAAGAATTGTAGCAACATAGTCATCTTGTTCTCAGAAATTCAATCTCAGAATTACCTGAGACTGTGGAGCAAGGGATGGGTTTGGGACTCTTGCTCTGGATGGTAGCACAGGACGGGGTGTAGAAGGTTGTGCTTTCTGCCTGGGCTTTACTCTTTGATCCTACGGGCTGGATGATCACCTTATACTTGCAAGAGAACTGAAGTCCAGGAAGGCTGGCGAAATTCTCCTGCTCAGTGACATGAAAAGAGAGCAAAAAGTGAGACCTTGTTCCAACTCCACTGAGAAGAATTCAAGTAGAAATATGATGACTGATCACCTATCACTACATCCATCATAGCTGTGGGCCACAAAGGGAAAATCTATAGTTCATGTTTTGCATATGTCAGGAAAGATTTATTTTCATGCTGATAAAGATATTCTCCACTTTTTCAATGTCGAAGACTTTAACACAATCTCTCACATTGTAAATTACATAATTACACTGATAAAAATCATAACCTAAGGATGGTTAAAAAAATATTTTGTGTCATATTTCTCTGCAAATTAGTAAAGAAATCTTTCTGTGGATGTGCCTCCAAATGAAATGAGTTATGCGCCATGAATGATCAATGAACACCACAGGAACACTCTCACTGGAAATTCATCTTATGTATGAGCTGTCAGTATGTGGCCTCGCACCTGTAGGGAGGATAGAAGACACATTACTGACTGGTTACCTGGGTGATGAGCTTTTCCTGTGTTCTGGATCTATTGTGACTGCAGAATTCCGGAGACCACTGCACACGGTAACGATTCACGGTGGGATCTGAAAAGGAGAGATGGCAAAATATGAAGTGCCAGATTCTGAATGTGATTATGGAGGGCTCTGAGTGGGGGATGGGGAGTTTCTTTTGTTCCACTCCACTCACATATGCTGTTCCAGACCGATTTTTAGTTTGTGTGCTGCTTGGTGAAATGCAAACTGATGCTTTGCTCTTGTTTGGAACTATTTCAACTGTATGGACTGGCAGAAATTTTGTATAGGCTGGCCACATTTTATCTGATACTTCAGTTATTCAATGTATAAGCAAAAACGGTGAAAAATTTCTTCAGAATATCTTCTTTTGTGTTCCACAGAAGAAAGTAAGTCTTGGTTTGAAACAACATGAGTAGGCCTTAAGCCTGTGTTATACTTTCCGCGTCCGCTATGGTATGCGTGACATAAAAATCGTCATCAGAGAGTGTGCGCGGAGGCTCTGAGTGGACATCCGCGTGCCTCCCATTTTTTGTGACAGTTTTTTGTCAGTAGGCTACTGCGCATGCGCAGGCTGTGTGAAGAAGCCCGTTGCTACTCGAACCTGTACAATCCATCGATAAAACAATATAAAGACAGCCAGATGTGCAATAACTCTGGCCAATTCTTTGTTCACATGTTTGTTTATTGTTCAAGCCGATCTACTACGCATGTATGGAACATGTCCGCAGAGCGGACCATCAGCGTATGCTTTCGGAAGTATAAATACAGGTTGAATGGAAATCAATAGAATAGAATCAATAGAATGTTCATCTTTGTATGAACTATCCCATTCAACACATCTGAATTTTTGTAATAAATATTTAAAAACTTGGATAAGCCTTTCATTGCATTATTAAACGTTTTTTAAATCTCATTATCAGTAAACAAACAGTTAAATATTCACTGATAATCATCAGTAATGATCTATTCAAACCAGAGATACGCCCTGTAGAGATCCATGCTTTTTATTCATCCAGAAAATATGCAAAACAACGCAAAATATGCAAAGCAAAGCAATCTTGATAATGTGCCTGACAGATCAGTATGAGATAAATCTGCTGGACATGCATTAGAGAGATTAAGGGATTTGACATGATTTTGCCAGTGCGACTCTTAAGTTATTGAAATTCAAAACAAAGGTCAATGACAAGATTTCAAGCACCATTTTACATGGTTTGGTATGAGTAAAATGTTTTCGTTTCTGTGACAGTTTTCATTTGTGAGTTTAATGTGGGATTATCTCATCACTCACTGACAGAACGAAACAGTTTAAATGTAATTTGCTGCATGCGAAGTTAGGCTGAGACATGTCTCATCTGCTCATGTTAGCACACAAACAGCTCCACACTTATTTCAAGAATGGTTCTTATCACAAACAAAGAGCTATTGTTCTTCATTTAATTACATATGATTCTGATTCTTAACTCTTTAATTAGCACTATGTTTACATAATTACATAGCATAGCTTTGAGGAAGGAAGACAGGAACAGGACTGATTTACAGATGAAAGATATGGTCTATTGTGTATGTCATACCTTTCTTTTTCCAGTAGACCCGGACCTGAAGCTGTCCATCTTGATAGAACGGAGTGCCCACGTCTAATAGATCTGACTGGGGTTTTATAAAGACCGGACTGTCTGTGGGTTCCAAATCTGCATGACATCAAATATGGGGGAAAAGTATAACGTTGCAAATGGAAAACATTTACAGCTGTTTTCACTGTATTTCACAACACTCAAATGAGAGCTGTTATGTATCAAGCAAAAAGACGTACAGCAATTAAATAGTTTTGTACCAGATTGTCTTTGGCTTGTAGTAAACTGAAAAATGGCCTTGGAGCTCTTGAGAGGGACCTGACCCCAGTATGAAACCGCCTGCAACTCCACAGTGTAACTCCTGTTCTCTCTCAAGTCATCCAGCTCAGCATAGGTAGAGTCCTGCACACACACACACACACACAAAACCCACAGGCAAGGATTAGTATAGTCATGCCAATCCAAATCCAAAACAAAAGAAAGAGAGAACGAATGGAAATGGAAGGTAAATCCATGTAGAATTTTTAACTACCCAATAATCTTATTTTAGGTGGAGGGCCATACAAAACAGCACCTTACGCATGCGAAAAATATTTGTTTTGTTAATCCTTGGTGAACCCCAATCACAAAAAGTGCATGCAAAGTACATGCTCTTCTGGAGCAGATCCAGAATCAACTTCAGCTGGTTTAATGGCCAGTATTGGGAGCAATTTATCTTTGGACTACATTTGCATGTGAGATAAGGGAATATTAATCAAATAAACATACTGACAAGAAAAAAGAGAAAACCCCTTATCGCTTATCCGTCTGCCTGGATAATTTAAGAAGCTTTAATATGCCATCTGAAAGTATCCCTGTTGAAAAATCCAGCATATGCTTGTTATGTGTGTTTCGAAGCATGGCTGCTGGTTTGAGCTGGTTTAAATTGGTTCTTAGCTGCTCATGAGCTGGTTCAAGCTGGTTATGTGCTTAGGACCAGCACATGACCAGCTAAGAACCAGCTTAAACCAGCTCATGACCAGCTAAGGATAAGTGACTATAAACACAAAGTTAGGCCAAATAAAAGAAAACTGCTTAAAAATAAATGTTCCAAAAGGAATGTTTGCAGTGATTGCATAGAAGAATCCAAAGAACCTTTCAGTGAACAGCTCTTTGAAAAAAAATAATAATAATTTACTCATATTAATTTATGGGCCTGCTGCTCAGTCAAATTCTGGCAGCATCAAATTAGCATTAATGTGTCACACAAGTATTCAGAGGAAACTATTATTATTATCACATAAGAATCTTCTTTCAAAAAAGAAACATGCTGACCTCAAAATTACTTTAATGTTTGTGTATAATGTACAACTTTTGTAGATAATAAAAATATTCTAAAAATGTATCATACCAATTAAAAAATCTCCAAAATCAACCCACAGGGGGTTGCTTTAGTCCAATAACATGAGATCTAATACTGTAGATGAGTTACAGTTTAATATTAATAATACTATTAATCACAGTAATAGAGTACACCAGAAAAGAACTGTGAAGTTATCATAATTTGTTGTAATCTTATAATCACTGTGCACTAGAGTAATCTGTTTAAAATCAATTTTCAGCATATTTTTTTCCTATCATCTTGCAGAGCCAAACAGTAAAAGGAGCGTGGTTTACATTTGTCCACAATCACTCAGCAGCTATTTAAAAAATTTCATTTTCTGAGGAAATTTCCATGTCCCTCAACTGACAGAGCCCTCAAATGCAAATATGAATCAACTGCCATCTCTTGGATTCCTAAAAAGAAGGAAAAAATAAACTCTTCAGCATGATCTCACTGAAAGAAAAACAATTCAGCTGTTATTGAGAGATTTCCTTTTCTCAAGCACAACTAGAATTGATATGCTGTTTTTGGCTGTGTATCAAATGGAGCCCAGAAATGTTTGCATTTGCCAAGAGTGGTGATGCAATACTGTACCACCCTAGTTTGGTGTCTGAAGCCCTTGAAAATAGGGCTTGGTGTGATCAAAGGCCCAATCCTGAGTTATTTATCTTGCACTTATTTGCACTAAGATTTCTAATTTGTTGTGGCTTGCTGAAAGAAGGGGCTGGGAAGCTTAACCCTTGAGGGCTTTTGGGAACAATCCAATATATGAGAAAATGAAAGCATAAAATGCAGAGAGAAAAAGCGATTGGCCAGAGAGGGAGTGTGTGGGCAGACCAGATTAATTACCCCATTTGTAGTCTGTCTCCTCTTGAGTTTGGATGGCATAGTATGGTCAGAACAGCTCCAGGAGAGTTTGTAGTGGTTAACAGGGATGTCTAAATCTGCAGACATGCTCCAGCTGAGGCGGACAGACACAGAGCGATCTGCACCAAAGGTCATGTTACTGACATGAAGTTCAGACGGTGCCGGGGGAGGGGCAGGATCTGGGAGAGGGTGAAATAAGGGGGAATAAAAATTAGCAAAAGGTTACAGTGCAGGCATTTCAGATAATAATATCAAATCTAAAGAACATGAAAAAGGATAACATGCATTATATAAATGATTACTGTTATTTATTATGCTAAAGTAGATCCTAATAGGATGCCATTAGATTACAGTTTCTAGTTCTCACCTTTAGAGGATCTGAAGTGTCTGCTGGGTGTGGTGTATCCTCTGGTTCCATGAACATTGACCGCTGCCACTCTGAACTGGTACCAGCGACCGGGCCGGATGTCCATCAGCCACACACGCTCTTCTGATGTCTACAGTACAGAAGCACAGATGAATGAGTGTAGGAGGGAGCATATAAATGACTGAAGGAAATTAAATTAAAAAGATGACTGAATATATACTGAAATATTGCAAGGATCCAAAGGGAAGTTAAGAATTTAATTTTATGTTTGTTACCATATGTTGTTCTGGTAAATGTTTTATTATTTGCATTATAAATTATTTTAAATATATAGTTACATGATGTGATAAATGAATTGTAATTTTATGTGATGTATTTTTTATGTAATGCATATTTACTGTTATATGTACTGAAAGATGAAACCATAATTTTCAAATCTCGTGCAGTATGGTAGTGGACCTCCTAGCAACCTTTATTGAAGACCATGTAACACACATACACACACACTTACTCTAGCCACCACTTGCCACTCAGTTGCTCCATCCTCACTGGGGTGGATGCCGTAGTTCCACCTCCTCTGCAGAACATTTAGCACCGGCTCCGCTGACACATTGAACTTGGAGGACCAGCGCACTTCCAACACTCCAGACTCCAGCTCCTCAAAGACCAGCTCCTTCCTGGGCTTCAGAGGAGCACCTGAAGGTAAAGAAGAACAGCAAATCTCAACCTGAGAAAGAACAATCTGGATATGCCTTTATAACATCCAGTAGTCTATCAAGAACAATATATTCATACTTGCTTTAGTTTGCACAACATATATGCTTGTTGTTGTCTATCTGCTGTGACCCTTCAAAGGATATATGGCACATGATAATCCAATCTGCATGTTTTCCAAAACTCCAATTATGGTTATTTTCAGCACATTTCTTACATTTTGAAACAGAACACTTTTTTAATTTGAAAGAAAAATTAAACATCAGATGTTAAGAGTTATATCAGTGGTTCTGAAAGTTTTTGACTCCTTTTGGATTACTTGTTAATTATTGTGATGTTTTTATCAGCTGTTTGGACTCTCATTCTGACGGCCCCCATTCACTACAGAGCATCTATTGGTGAGCAAGTGATGTAATGCTAATTTTCTCCAAATCTGTTTCCATGAAGAGATAAAGTCATCTACATCTCAGATGGCCCAATAGTGATTAAATTTTCAGCCAATTTAAATTTTTGGGTGAACTATTCCTGTAACGGCTATTCACTCCAGATAGCAGGGATAAAATGAAAAAAGTTACAAGTTTAATGGTATCGTCCACAGCTGGGGTCCAAATCTAAGTGATAACTGGGTTAAGTCAGCTATCTATCATCAGGTTCAGTAGCAAGTCTTACCCCTGTAGAGGTTCTTAGGGGACTGGCATGTGTGTCCACAGCCATTTGGGCAGCATTTCTTCTGGGCTGAACACTCTCCATCTTCCTCACATCCCTCCACACAGGCAGCTGCAAAGCCACTGGCTCTCTCCGGCGCAGGACAGTCACCCTGTTTCACCACCATCACTGATCGCAGGAACTCACAGCTCGTCACACACTCACCATGACGCTTGGGAAATGCGTGCTGAGAAGATGTTATAGTGTACAGGATCAAACTTTAACACCTGCATATCTTACAACCTAGCAATTAATTTATGTGACATTAATTTGTCTAAGGATTTTGGATTCTGCACACTGAGTCCCATTCAGTCACACCATATGCATGTATGTATTTTTACATATAACCTGTGTGTCTACAGCTTATATATTAACTTACATTAATTTAACTTATATTATTGCTGGAAAGGTAACATAACATAACATAACATAACATAACATAACATAACATAACATAACATAACATAACATAATATTCATCCATTCATTTATTTTCCAAACAGCTTGTTCTATGTACGGCCATAGAGATTCTGGAGCCTATCCCATCTTATATTGGAAATGTAATTATTGAAGATTATATTACTGAAAATGTTTTCAGAGAAAAAAAATATGGTCTAAGATAGGTTCTACATAAAAAATGTAGACATTCACATGCAGTTTAAATCTATATGAAAGGTGTATTGTTTTTCAGCTGGCTTTGGGAGTGGATTTTCTTGTTTTTGGCACTATGTTCAACACAAGATGATTACAAGATTTACATGCGTTGTGAATGAGTGGATTTCCTGTTGCTTAATCTTATACAAGTCTAAAATGATGGATGAAGGTCCTGATCAATACTGGCAAATGAAAGAACTAATATTCATTGTTTTAAGTCCCCATTGCCCTCAACAGTGCATTCATGGCCAAAGAAACAGGAAAAGCTAGATGGTACTAAGCCAAGAGTTTTAAATTGAAGAGAAACGCCACAATAACAGGATTCAAGACCAAAGAGAAATGATCAAAGAAATTCTCAGACTGTTTCAAAAGAAGATCAGAGCACAACATTATCATTTTGAACAATGGGAGACCACTTAAACGGTAGCCAAGTCTGTCAGGAAAAACAATAGCGGATTAATATTTGGAAAACCAGAACACCAAGGTCAGCCATTTGTATCAGGTTTTTTTTTTCTTTCTTGTTGAGAGCACATCCCAGAAACTACTAGATCTGTTAAGAATGCTGCGGTCTGTACCTCACATAAATCTCGACAAGGTCCGTCTTTCAACTCCCAGGAGTCTTTGCATGGCTCCAGGCACTGTGAACAGACAGCAGAGGTCTGAGTATCAGGAAGCAGTTTCGAATGACTCTGGAATTATTCTTTTTCATACAATCACAGTCAAATATGTTAAAGTCAAAAGCATTTACTCTGTGTAGGGGTATCACAATATACCGCTTGTGACAATAACCAGGATATTTTATAAATGAAATATTGATATCATGGTAATATTACACACTAATACCATAAATAAACCATCACTTGTAATTGGTTGACACTCCGAAACAGAAATAAGAAATAGATGCAATGTGTAGTTAAAACTGCCGCACAAAATGATGTTGGAGGAGATGACAGACAAAAACAAGTTCCTCTACCCACATCTGACAAAAGTTAGCTTGCCAATGTGGGAGTTAAAGATGAATTTGACTAACAGCATAATGCATATTTTCCCAAAAGTACTATAGATATCGCAATAACATCATAATCGTGAACTCTTTCGGCTGTGCTAATCGTGTAGTGAAAATCTGATATTCGTTGCTGCTGATCTGATTCGCAGTCAGCATTTTTATAGTTCGCAAATCATTCACACAAAGGTTCTTATATCATTTTTTGTTGTTTTTGATCATACATCATTTCGTAGGTGTTTGAAGTCTGTCATTACCTTCTCAGCAACTTGGAAGTGTCAGCAGAGAGATCCCTGAACGTTTTCCGATCACTGACATTTGCATTCAGCATTTAAATCACATGCCAAAATTCTTTCATTTCGATGTCTACACCTGCCTCTCTCCTTTGCTCTTTCTCCTTCACTCCCTCTCTCATCTTCTATTCTCCTTTCCATAAATTTGACACTTCACTTCCTGCATGAGTGAGCTTGGCTGCCTCTGGGGAATTCACATTTCCAATTTCATGCCACGATGAGACACAGCGGTCACTATGGCGCTGGGGCTAAACATTGCTCTGCAGGAGCATGCTGGGAACGAGATGTGAACATTACACATTACGCTGATCTAGCAGCCGTCTTTACTCCAATGGTCACATTTTCAGAACAGCATGAATGGACCTTTACCACCACCTTGGGAAAACGTACACTTCCTTCCGAAGGAAAGATTCTGCAGATGTCAGTTAGAGAGAGTTTCACATTAAAATGCTTGTTAATCCAGGGATTTAGTATCAGGAGGAAACGATAAGGTGCGTGTATGTTGGTGTGTGCGTGCCTGTGTAAATTGTTAATACAGTGGGGAAAAAAAGTATTTAGTCAGCCACCAATTGTGCAAGTTCTCCCACTTAAAAAGATGAGAGAGGTCTGTAATTTTCATCATAGGTATACCTCAACTATGAGAGACAAAATGAGAAGAAAAAAAATCCAGAAAATCACATTGTAGGATTTTTAAAGAATTTATTTGCAAATTATGGTGGAAAATAAGTATTTGGTCAGTAACAAAATTTCATCTCAATACTTTGTTATATACCCTTTGTTGGCAATGACAGAGGTCAAACATTTTCTGTAAGTCTTCACAAGGTTTTCACACACTGTTGCTGGTATTTTGGCCCATTCCTCCATGCAGATCTCCTCTAGAGCAGTAATGTTTTGGGGCTGTCGCTGGGCAACACGGATTTTCAACTCCCTCCAAAGATTTTCTATGGGGTTGAGATCTGGAGACTGGCTAGGCCACTCCAGGACCTTGAAATGCTTCTTACGAAGCCACTCCTTCATTGCCCGGGCGGTGTGTTTGGGATCATTGTCATGCTGAAAGACCCAGCCACGTTTCATCTTCAATGCCCTTGCTGATGGAAGGAGGTTTTCACTCAAAATCTCACGATACATGGCCCCATTCATTCTTTCGTTTACACGGATCAGTCATCCTGGTCCCTTTACAGAAAAACAGCCCCAAAGCATGATATTTCCACCCCCATGCTTCACAGTAGGTATGGTATTCTTTGGATGCAACTCAGCATTCTTTCTCCTCAAGTTGAGTTTTTACCAAAAAGTTCTATTTTGGTTTCATCTGACCATATGACATTCTCCCAATCCTCTTCTGGATCATCCAAATGCTCTCTAGCAAACTTCAGACGGGCCTGGACATGTACTGGCTTAAGCAGGGGGACACATCTGGCACTGCAGGATTTGAGTCCCTGGCAGCGCAGTGTGTTACTGATGGTAGCCTTTGTTACTTTGGTCCCAGCTCTCTGCAGGTCATCCACTAGGTCCCCCCGTGTGGTTCTGGGATTTCTGCTCACAGTTCTTGTGATCATTTTGACCCCACAGGGTGAGATCTTACGTGGAGCCCCAGATCGAGGGAGATTATCAGTGGTCTTGTATGTCTTCCATTTTCTAATAATTGCTCCCACAGTTGATTTCTTCACACAAAGCTGCTTACCTATTGCAGATTCAGTCTTCCCAGCCTGGTGCAGGCCTACAATTTTGTTTCTGGTGTCCTTTGACAGCTATTTGGTCTTGGCCATGGTGGAGTTTGGAGTGTGACTGTTTGAGGTTGTGGACAGATGTCTTTTATACTGATAACGAGTTCAAACAGATGCCATTAATACAGGTAACCAGTGGAGGACAGAGGAGCCTCTTAAAGAAGAAGTTACAGGTCTGTGAGAGCCAGAAATCTTGCTTGTTTGTAGGTGACCAAATACTTATTTTACAGAGGAATTTACCAATTAATTCTTTAAAAATCCTACAATGTGATTTTCTGGAATTTTTTTTCTCATTTTGTCTCTCATAGCTGAGGTATACCTATGATGAAAATTACAGGCCTCTCTCATCATTTTAAGTGGGAGAACTTGCACAATTGGTGGCTGACTAAATACTTTTTTGCCCCACTGCATAACTGAATTGAAGCATAACTTATGGATTGATAAACAAACATTGGGCAAATATGGAAGAATGACAGAATAAAAGCCTTACATTGTGCATAGTCTTGAAGAAGAGAGAATTCATTTGGACTCAAAGTGACCCATTTTTCCTCATTCGACATGCTGTCCAGTGTTTATCTGCCTCTGTTTACATACATAAGATCCAGCAGCTCAGCCTCTGTGGAGAGAATGAAAAAACTGTCAATCACCTTGTAAATCTGACAAAACTCATCTTGTGTGATATAGTCTAGCTTTATTTCTCATTCATGTACAGTATATGTGTAAAGCCGTGTTTTTGCGATTCTGTACTTAGTTTCGGTTATTACAGAACAACAAGAAAAGTAGCTATCTGTGTCACATGCCATCAAATATTTGAATGTGCAACATCATGCCAGTCAATACTGAAGTTAACGTTTGACTTGACCTCACTGACTGGCACTGATTGATGTGATGCCCTGCTTTGTACTGTACAAAGCATGACTGGGTCCTCAAAGTATGAGAACACTACCATTCAAAAGTTTAGAATCAGAAAAAAAAAAAGATCTTATGCTCACCAAGGCTGCATTTATTTGGTAAAAAAAGTATTTAGTCAGCCACCAATTGTGCAAGTTCTCCCACTTAAAAAGATGAGAGAGGCCTGTAATTTTCATCATAGGTATACCTCAATTATGAGAGACAAAATGAGAAAAAAATTCCAGAAAATCACATTGTAGGATTTTTAAAGAATTTATTTGCAAATTATGGTGGAAAATAAGTATTTGGTCAATAACACAATTTCATCTCAATACTTTGTTATATACTCTTTGTTGGCAATGACAGAGGTCAAACTTTTTCTGTAAGTCTTCACAAGGTTTTCACATACTGTTGCTGGTATTTTGGCCCATTCCTCCATGCAGATCTCCTCTAGAGCAGTAATGTTTTGGGGCTGTCGCTGGGCAACACGGATTTTCAACTCCCTCCAAAGATTTTCTATGGGGTTGAGATCTGGAGACTGGCTAGGCCACTCCAGGACCTTGAAATGCTTCTTATGAAGCCACTCCTTCGTTGCCCGGGCGGTGTGTTTGGGATCATTGTCATGCTGAAAGACCCAGTCACGTTTCATCTTCAATGCCCTTGCTGATGGAAGGAGGTTTTCACTCAAAATCTCATGATACATGGCCCCATTCATTCTTTCGTTTACATGGATCAGTCGTCCTGGTCCCTTTGCAGAAAAACAGCCCCAAAGCATGATGTTTCCACCCCCATGCTTCACAGTAGGTATGGTGTTCTTTGGATGCAACTCAGCATCCTTTCTTCTCCAAACATGACAAGTTGAGTTTTTACCAAAAAGTTCTATTTTGGTTTCATCTGACCATATGACATTCTCCCAATTCTCTTCTGGATCATCCAAATGCTCTCTAGCAAACTTTAGACGGGCCTGGACATGTACTGGCTTAAGCAGGGGGACACGTCTGGCACTGCAGGATTTGAGTCCCTGGCGGCGCAGTGTGTTACTGATGGTAGCCTTTGTTACTTTGGTCCCAGCTCTCTGCAGGTCATTCACTAGGTCCCCCCGTGTGGTTCTGGGATTTTTGCTCACAGTTCTTGTGATCATTTTGACCCCACGGGGTGAGATCTTGCGTAGAGCCCCAGATCGAGGGAGATTATTAGTGGTCTTGTATGTCTTCCATTTTTTAATAATTGCTCCCACAGTTGATTTCTTCACACCAAGCTGCTTACCTATTGCAGATTCAGTCTTCCCAGCCTGGTGCAGGTCTACAATTTTGTTTCTGGTGTCCTTTGACAGCTCTTTGGTCTTGGCCATGGTGGAGTTTGGAGTGTGCCTGTTTGAGGTTGTGGACAGGTGTCTTTTATACTGATAACGAGTTCAAACAGATGCCATTAATACAGGTAACAAGTGGAGGGCAGAGGAGCCTCTTAAAGAAGAAGTTACAGGGCTGTGAGAGCCAGAAATCTTGCTTGTTTGTAGGTGACCAAATACTTATTTTACCGAGGAATTTACCAATTAATTCTTTAAAAATCCTACAATGTGATTTTCTGGATTTTTTTTCTCATTTTGTCTCTCATAGTTGAGGTATACCTATGATGAAAATTACAGGCCTCTCTCATCTTTTTAAGTGGGAGAACTTGCACAATTGGTGGCTGACTAAATACTTTTTTGCCCCACTGTATATGTGTGT